CAGAGGCTTCATTGTTTAACTGTATACATGCTGGATGGGGAACAAAAGGCTGTGGCCATCATGAGGATGCAAGCGTGATCTGTAACACTTAAATGAACTGTTTGCACATGGGGCCATGCTTAATTTGGGTTCATAGAAATTCAAATCTGTATCATGCCTATTATGTTAACACTGATTCTAAAAAGTCTAAGAGCGCTTACGTGTGACAAGAATTAACTTAGATGAATAATAATAAACGAAGTTGTATTTCTAAAGATATAGCTGTAAGTAAAATTCCCAGTCTTATTAGACTATTTTGTTAAGCCCTAAAGGAGCCATGTCACGAGGATTTTGTTGTTTTTATTTCAGTTTTGTGCCGTAAAATCATTACTTAGTGCCTTCACACGTGTAAAGTGATAAACTGTAGAATTGTGAAGAATATATTAAACAAATTTTGTCATGGAGTACAGATGAACCATAATAACTTTTACATGTAATGGTAATTTTTGCAGGTATTACATTAAAACTTGAAAAAATTGGACCTCAACTGCATGTCCATTCTTCTATAAACTAATTAACATCCTTAGCACTGCAGGCAGCGGAGGTCTATGTTTTCAAGACGAGAGTTAAACGTTGAGATATATGCGTTAGCTTGCGTTATCATATGGCTGAGATCCAAATGTCGAGAAAATTGCTCATATGCAAAAACCATAACACCAAAGGTTTACCAAATCGTTTGTAAAAAAAAAAATTGAAGAACTGTTCGAGAACAATAGTTATTTTTCTAGTATATAATCATCTCTGGTCGGATGTTCAGGTGACGAGCCTTGTAAGGGCGAAAATCAAGGTAAAACTTCCCTCCCATTAGGTTTGAATTTCGGCGCGACCAAAGAAAGGAGTAATTTCATCCCAGGGGGAGGGTAAGGGTTGAGAAACATATAAAAGACGAATTGGTAGTAAGGCCCGGTTGTACAAAGTTTGTAAACCTACTCGCCATTATAGTGAGGATAATAAGGGACTTACATAGCAGAATTATTTATTGAAACGGCTTAATCCTGCGTAGTCGGCGGGTTTTTTCCGCGTTTTTTGTTCGTGTTTTGTCAAGAAAGAGGCTAAGCGAGAAAACGATGGAGGAGTAGGCGAGAGAGCGCCTGCATTCAACCCAGGATTCAACCCCCATAGGCGATTATCACCTCCTCCGGTCTCCTACAAAGATGGTTTTGCAAGCTTATTACGCAACGATCCTCTGATTACTGAGAAATAAATGAATAAATAATAAATAATTGATAAATTTGAAGATAAATAAATAAATGCGGAACAAATCCAAAAGTTTGTTTATCAGGAGCTCGGCTCCTGTTCCCCGGGGGGGGGAGGGTACTCCCTTATATAAGCCATTTACTTAGGTATGTGCCGCAGGGTATGCACTTTGCCCATTTTGGTATAGCCTGGAATCGGGTATGGTTTTCGAGGGAACTACAGGAGTGTATGAGCGTATTTATCGTTTCAATTCCAAATAAATAAGAAAGAAAGAGTAATATGCAAATTCGACTGCTTTTGAAGAATGTTTTTGTTTGCGTTTTAATCTAAGTATTGCATTGATGGCGTTATTTTTGCTTAAAGGCCTAGCCCCGGTCAATAGAAGGATAGCGCTTTCTGATCGGATGAATCAGATATCCATCAGATATCCATCAGATAAGTATCAGGGAAACGAATTGCGCTATCCAGTGGATAGTGATCTATCCGATGGTTAAGTTTAACCCTAGAGTTAAGCCATAGTTTAAGCAAGGTTTTCTTGTCTACGAACATGCAACTTGAGCTTACAAAATACGGTTGGGCCTTTGCTCCAAGATACAGTAACGACACATAATGTTACCCTAAGCAATACATAGGAAGGCAAAATACCAAAAAGGAACAAAATGTTAATCCTGGATTAGCGCTAATCGGCCTTTCAGGAACTGGACCCCGCTATCCCCCACCTTTCGAACAACTGGCGCCAGATCTGAAAACGGGTATGGATTTGAGAGGTCGGGACCCAGTTGTTCGAAAGGCGGTTAAAGCTTCTCCCTGGATAAATCTCTACCCAACAATTCCTCTTCTGAACGTCAGATTTCACGTGTACTTTCACGTGACTTTTGACGACCTTTGTTGTAAACAAACCCGTAAAGTTCGGACATCCGTCCCCTAATATTTATCCGCTGAATAGTAATGTCGGAACGTAATTTATCCGCTGGATAGCGTTTGAACAACCGGAGAGTGGTCTGAAAACGGGTGTGGAAAACGACAATTTTTGGTCTGAAACGGGGTCAGGAGTTGGAGAACCGGGCGGCACATCTCCACCAAGAATTCCCAGATCATCTCTTCCCCATCCCTACCCCCGCCCCCGAGCTCCTGTTTAAAAACTCGCGGCATGTAATGAGAAGGAGTGGGAACTAGTAGTTCCCAGGTTTTCTTTGTTGATCATCGTTCATGTAATATTTCCAAGGCAACAGAACTTTCGCCGCAAGTTTTCGTCTTCTCCTCCGTCAGCTGCAAATATTCACTTGGGGAAACAAACAGAATGATTCCACCGAATACTTCGCTGGTAAAATATGACAATCCAGTTCTTGTAAGCAGGAACACAGACAAGAAATCACCAAGGGTAAGTTGATATCTTTCAAATATGGCGTCGTCACGCTGACCATTTGCATGTTGAGCAGTTTGTTTCCAAGTTGTTCCGCTTGAAATTTCGAGTTTTGCTGTCCTGAATATAATAAAGAATAGTGTTATTTTTACTCCTAAAGCTTTTAAGAAAGGTTACACACGGTTTTTTACTTGCTAATGCAGTTAAATACAACAAAAATTGTGAAGATATAATGTCAAAATGTGGTTTAGATGTAACTTTGTTAGCTTCAATAAACTGTTGAAGTAGACTTTCTTTCTGTCTGTAGGCTCGTTCCCTAAAAGTTAGCCAACAGCAGGGTTCAGGAAATGCTGGAGCAGGACCAGTTCCTCAGCCACCTCGAACCAATAAACTTCCACCAATGGATGCACAGAAAAATCAACAGACGGATGAGATACTCAATGCTATTTTGCCACCCAGGTTGGGCCTGACTAGTAATTTTAAAATAAGTATGATATCTTGAGTGCATCAGCTTGGTTCAAATAATCAATTGATACTCAAGGATAAACTTTTGTTAAGTTTATCTGAATACCTAGAATGGGAATGTGAATATGGGGATAAATACACTTACATAATGGAAACTGCAGAAATTGAAATGTAAATGAAGATAATTATGCCTCACGCAGTTGTAATAGCAATGTATTTTATCGGGGAGGGAGGGGGGTTTCAAGAGGATTCAAATGAACAGATTCCACATGAACATTTTGGTACTCTCCTTTAACTAAGCTATGCATGAAGACTAATCACTGTACATTGGTAGCCTGTGAGCAAGCTCTTTAATCATGGCAAGCAAAGCAAAGTTTGTAGTGAACATAATTACACACGTGGCTTTTCATTAGGTTGTACTTTCAATGTCACCAAATACTTATTAGTAAGTTTTTATTGCTATGTTATGACAGAGAGTGGACAGAAAATGGACAGTTATGGGTACAACAGGTGTCTAGCACTCCAGCCACAAGATTAGATGTTGTCAATCTGCAGGTACATACACATACTCTTACTCTTATAAAATTCATGAAGGACGTTGGAAATTTAACTCTTTTAAAGTAATGCAATATTATTGTTGTAATTCTGACACTTACACTTTAACCTCAATTTGGGTATTGCACCTTTAACAAGAAAGTTTTGCCAAACTTTGTCTTGTTTTTTTTTTTCCCTCAGTAATATTATATTGCATGGTATTATGAAATAATTTTAATTTCAGCTTATGTCAGTGTAAACTTACTGTATTTAGGAGCAACTTGACATGCGTCTTCAACAGCGACAAGCAAGGGAAACAGGAATCTGTCCTGTTAGGAGAGAGCTTTACTCACAATGCTTTGGTGAGCTTTTATGTTTAAAATTGTTTTACGCTGTAAAAAATGTTATTTTATAGTGTGTCAAATTTGTCACAGTCAAGTCTTTCTATCATAAGACTGAAGGCTGGCACCGCAAAAGAACTGAAGTGTCTGCATGATGGCCTATAGGAGATCACTAGAATGAATGTCACTCCACAGTCAAAGAAAATTATTTAAGAATAGCCGGGCTCAACTCTAGCTGTCTGCTACGGGATGGTGTCCAACTACATGATTGTACTGTATAAGCTTTCTCATTATTATGGACACCAAAGGGACAGAACCTTGTGTCCCCTTTTTAGAGCTGACAATCCGTATTAGATACTGAGGAACCTATCAAGTATGCAAGGATATGCAGTAAAATTGTGGAGTTGTCCCTAAGCAATTTTTTTAGTAATTGTAGTAGAAGCTACAATCCTGGACAATAGTCCTTGGGACAGTACTGCAATATCCTATTTTTCTGTTATTTCTCGATCCCTCTTAAAACAGTGCATCATTTTCGAATTTTTTTTGCAGTTCTCCCTCCCCCTACCCTATACAAAGTTGAAATGCGGAAAAAATTCTGGATACACGCGTCCAACATTGTTTGTGGGGTGAGGGGAGGGGTTGGACCTGTGTGAATTGGAAAACTCCCCAGAAACACAAAAGTGTCCCAAGACTTTTGTCCATGATTGTAGTTACTATGTCTGCAACTCTTAAATTCATAATATTATTATTAAGAGTATTGACATGTATAGTCTATGCATAGAGAGGTACTTTAATAGACCATGTCTTGTATTTTATCCATTTTAGATGAGCTGATTCGCCAGGTGACAATTAACTGTGCAGAGCGTGGCCTTCTGTTGCTGAGGTATGTTAACTTTATGCATATTAAATTTTGCACTGTTCTGAAAAATTGAATGAAGTCCTTTTTGTCGACTAAAGTTCAACATATTTTGGTTTGAAGATTCTTCGGTGTCAAGTTAGAATAGAATATAATATAATGTATAAGAAGAGATGTGATCTTTCAATATAAATTATAAGCTGGCCTTTATATCAGGCTGATATCTGGTTGATTGCTGTGAGTCCCAAGGTTAGCAGCACACTAATCTTTAGGTGTCCTGTGGTTTCTTAGGTAGTTCCTGCCATTATTTAGGTATTACATAATACAATCTGAATAAATTTAATTTATAATTTTTGTCAGGATGATTTTTAGCAATTATGTTTGCCATCAATGCCATCATAACTCAATTTGAACAGCTGGGAAGTTCTATTGGTTCTAATTTCCTTTTGTTTCAACCCATGGAAGTATCTGTTCCTAGTAGCTGGGAGTATTGTAAGGCCCCAGCCCTTAGTGACGGTAACCTGTCAATGTAATCAATTTTTTGTTTTTGCTGCAGAGTGCGTGATGAGATAAGAATGACCATTGCTGCTTACCAGACTTTGTATGAGAGCAGGTGGGTGCAGACTTATAAAGCTTTTATCCCTTATGGTGGCAAGTTGAACAAAATGAAAATAAAAAAACAATTCCTTCTCTCTTTCTTTTTTTTTTAATCCTAAGAAGTTGGTTCTAATTGCAAAAGCTTTACCGTTTCAACAGATTTAAAATTTACAGTAGCGTGACAAACTAAAAATCTTTCCATAATGTGATTAAGGACAGAAGGGTTAATACCTGTAGTGAATAGTGGAAGGTGATATGTAGCTTATGACTTATTTCACATTTCTCATTTTCTAAAAAGTAGCTGTTTAATACCTGAAGGGTTTACGGGGCTGTCATTAAGATGTGGGGGCTGGGGAACCAAACGAAATCCCTAGCTGTTTGATTCCCCACATACGTGTTTCATTTACCCAGCAACTTGAAATCTTAGTAGTAGAGTGACAAAAATCAATAATAATCTTTCCATAATGTGATTTAGGACAGAAGGGTTAATACCTGTAGTGAATAGTGGAAGTTGATATGTAACACAATATGAGTTATTTCACATTAATTCTCATTTTCTAAAAAGCAGCTGTTTAATACTAGAAGGGTTGACAGGGCTGTCATTTAAGAGGCGGGACTGGGGATTTCCCTCGGGTACTATGAATGTAGTTCCCAGCTACTTTCACTGGAAAATAGAAGAAACATGGAACCAAACGAAATCCCTAGCTGTTTGATTCCCCGCCTACTTGTTGTATTTACCCAGCAACTTGAATCTTAGTATAGTGACAACCCTGGGTTTAATGAAAATAATAATAATAACATAGGAAAAAAATTAAGTGTTAAGTGCCTAAGGCTTAAATATACCATGAGGTTTTTGAGTTAGACCCCGAACACTGACTCTAACTACATTAATGTAAGTGTTGTCAAACCAAGCAGTCAGGACCAGTGTACCTGTAGTTAAACATTTCTGTTTGGGTTTCCTGTGGTTGGTTTTAAAGGGGTTTAATGAGCTGGTAGATCATGTTTACTATTCATTTTCTTGCAGTGTTGCATTTGGCATGAGGAAAGCTCTTCAAGCAGAGCAAGGGAAAGCAGATATGGAAAGAAAGGTTTGTCAAAGAGTGCTAAACTAGTACTACATAATTTTTTAACACTACAAATAACAATGCCGTTTGAAACTACAATGAAAATGCGCCCGTCAGTTTTGGTTGCACGTGAAATATATAAATGCCTCTTCGAAAATACCATGATATTCTCAAATTACCTTTTGGCTGTAAACTTGATGCTCTCATTATTTTATTTCCACAAACTGCGCATGCAAGTGCCAATTTCCAGAAATACGCTCAAGTATTTAACAAGTATTTATTTGGACAAACTGAAGCATTACATCACTTGCAAATCGTACACAAAAGTTTTAACTTTTTGAATTAAAATTCAAAAGTAAAGTTTACATGAAGCACTCACCAAACGGCAACATTTAAGAATATTATGGTATTTTTGTAAGTGGCCTATAACATTCAATGAACCCTTAAAATAATAAACAAATAACTAAATAATTCTATTTACCCATAGATTCAAGAACTTGAAGGTGACAAAAGAGACCTTGAAAGGCAAGTCAATGAACTGAAAGCCAAGTGTGATGCTATTGAGAAACGTGAGGCTGAAAGAAGGGCAGTAGACGAGAAGAAACATGCGGAGGAAATTACGTTCTTAAAGAAGAACAACCAACAGCTTAAGGTACCATCAATACTGTGAATCCCATACATCCATATGTCGCCCGCAATAAACTTACTTTTTTCTTTCAGACCCAGCTGGAAGGCATCATTGCTCCAACAAAGAAGTAACTTTCAATGTACCAACAACATGAATTATTTTGATGAAGTTGGTTGTGTAAATTTTTGGAAACAACAGTTGTTTCCTGTTCTGTTGTTGCAGCTGTTATTTACCCGTGCACATGTAATTATACAGTAGTGGCGCTGTGCTTTCTGTGTAATTTGTATCCATTTCATCCTTTTAGACTATTAAGACCATGCTTTTGTTGTTGTTCAATAATTGTATTTTCTTGCAATTGTATTTTCTTGCAAAGTAATTGGAACTTATAAAATGGGTATATTGAGATTCTTTAAGGTTGTTTTGCTGTAGATATGAGTAACCTTGCTGTAACTGATCTTAGATTTTTTGGCTGGACGATAAATAAACTTACAGTTGTTGTAAGTATGTAATAAATCTGCTAAAGCGTGCTGATTTTTACTTCAAATAGCCTGCGCGACAGGCGTTATTTTTTTGCGTTTTTCAGGAGAGCAAAGGCGCGCGTGTCTGGCGCCTCTCGTTCGCTTCACGCTTGCCTTTGCTCTCCTAAATTTAAACGCAAAAAAGATAACGCTTGTTATGCAGCCCAGCCTCAAACAGCAAAATTACCGTGATTTGCATTCTTCAATGATTTTATGAGTCCTTAAAATCCCTTTGACTCACGGGAGGGTTGTTTTGCCGAACACCGAGTGCCAAATATCTCTGAAGTTAAATGATTATGCTGTTTAGAAACTGAGTGAGTCAAGTTCGTTTTTATGGTCGTTGTTTAGGGCGAACTAAACTTGAACTTGAGCCAGAGATGAAACACATGCGGTCATAAACATTGTGAGCTTACGCATTTTTATAAAAACTTGACGTTTCGTATGTTGTTCAACGTACATTTTCAAAATAACATTCACTATCGGCAAGATAAAAGAAACATTGATTATACAAGATCTTAAACCAGCCTTTAATGACTACCTCCCCTTAAAGGGCAAATTAAGTCACCCGCGTGTAGCTTAATGTCACATCACGCAACACTCCTCTTCTCTTGGAAGAAGCGTTGCGTGTCGAGACAAAAACGGCTGCGTGGAAAACTACCCGCGCGATAGACGATTTAAAAAGACAGAGTAGGGGACTTCTCGGAAATTCCAAGATAGAAACGATAAGGCGGTTTGCGGAATATGCAAACCCTTGTCAGAGAACCGTCAACAGTAATATTGGGGGTACGGTAGTTTCGGATAAGTTCAACAAAAAACGCTTTCCTTGATGACTTGTTGCACTTTTAATTTTCTAGCACACAATTACAGTTTTAATCTATTAAATTAATAAATAATAAATAAATAATACGTCTATTTCTTAATATGTACACGTTAATTTTAACTTTCTGTCTTTCTTGTCCAAATTCACTGCCGTGCATGACTGAAAAACAAAATGCCATTTTGAAGGGCGAAAAAGAAAAAGAAAGAATTAAGGGGGACGGATAGAAAGACATCTTTTACTTGGTTGTTTATATCTCCTGTTACAAATTCAACCTCTAACTGTAATATAAACACTCTGTTGGAATTTATATCAATTACCTGATATTTGATAATACCAATTTTATTTTAACACATTACATGTACTTGCCAGACCTCAGACAAGATAGTTTTCAAAAAGGCAAACAATGCCATAATAAATTGTTACACTTCACCCTTACCCTTAATATTAAATAATGTAAGTTTTCATTCACACAAAACTACAAATAAAAATTATCAATGACACACTTTAACATTTCACCTTGAATGCACAACAATTTAAACTGGAAACAAACACTATCAAGAATAAACAAACATGCAGGCAAAACATACTTTACTCACTTAATAAGCAACAAAGTTAATGAAAAAGAATTTCTTAATTTCACTGAGCTAAGCTTGACGTGAAAGTGATGAATGTAGATGCATGCACCTTCTTGCAAATGATGTCAGGAATTGTTTATTACAAAATGAGCAGTAAAAAAAGGGCATCAGTTCGCTGCCAATATTTGTACGATCTTAGAAAATGTAATAATAGTGTACGGTAAATGTGGTTTCACTCCAGCCTAATTATCAATTCTAGAATTACAGCCAAACAGTTGATACACCACCCTTTCTTTCACATTAAATTTAAACAAATGAGACCAAAAACAACTGCTTTGTAAAAAAAAAAAAAAACAGAGAGATAAAGAGAGGGAAAAACCCAAAGAAATACAGAAATGAGAAATTGTTCATTATGCCAACAGTAGCATCAACTTTAAATTAGAGACTACTGTAATACGAAAAGTGAACTGCCACAAACATTATGGTAAAGAGAGTGGCCTTGAATTGCACAAAGGAGAGTCCCATTAGTTTCCAGCAACTTTAAATGGCATTCTCTCTGTCAATCAGCATCTGAAAAATCAAAAAAAAAAAACATTGACTGTCTGTCTCTGGTTAGTCAATATTATCATGAAGTCTGAACTCAGTAAAAAGAAATGATATCTTGTGCACATAAAGAAACAAAAATAGTGGTATCATGTACACAACTACCCTATTTACTCAAAAAAGCACCACGGCACTTATTAAGCTTTTCACGCCTTGAATGCGGCACTTATTCAAGGGCAGTGTTTAGTTGAGATTAATTGGAGGCGACAAAAAATTGTATTCACTACAGCATTAATATTTTCCGTAACAGAATAAACATCTTTTGATTTTGATTATATCAAGGCTGCGATGCTTATTTGGTTGCAGTGCTTATTAACTTTTTTTCTGAATGCAGCACTTATTCGAGGGTGGCACTTCATCAAGGACAGCGCTTACTAAAATAAACAAGGTATATGTATGTTGTAATTAATTTTTTATTTCAGTTAATTTTTGTTTTTTCAATATTCATTATCACTGTTATTGCTCTCAGCTCTGGCTGTTTGCATGCCGACATATATTCCAAGGAAGCAAGTCATGACAAATGACCAAGGATCACTTGGGGACTCTCCAGGAAATTTAGAAATCAAGCACCTTCTCTCAGAATCCTCGCTGTTTGTTATCGTTATGGTAATCATTATTGCCATTGTTATTTTTATCATTATCATTGTTATAACCGCTATTATTATCATCACCATTATCATCATCATCATCATCATCATCACCATCATTATCATCATCATCATCATTATTATTATTACTATTACTAATTTTTGTCTTGACCTGTTCTATTATTTTGGAAGTTCCAAATTTTCCATTACATTATTTTTTAGATTTTCTTTATATTTTTTCACCCCATTATTGTCATTTTTCTCCGATTCATTTTCCAAACCACAAATCCCCTAAGCATAAAGAGAACTTACGGAGATATTTTAAGCTTGGCTGGTGGATCTCCCTTGCATCCTGCCACTTTCCATTTATGATATTCTTGAAGTTTCTTGTTCATGCTGGCATCACTAGCTGTTCTTCTAGTTGTTTTAAGTGGTGAACTGTCTTGAGTAACCAGAACACTGGATGACCTTCTAGAATCAGGTCTGCTTTTAGTGGAATTGCTTGTAGAATCATTATTTATGTGAATATTACTGCTTGCCCCCTCTGCTGATGGTGATTCACTGGGAATGCGCACTCCATTCTGTTCTAAGTAATCCTCATTGTTTGCAGTATTTTCAGCTCCCTTTATAGAAGAGTCCTTTGAAAGCTTTCGAACATCATTTGGTGAAGGAGGCACACTAGACAATTCCTCCCCTAGGGAGAGATATAATTTAAAAGTTATACCAGACAACAAAAAAACTGATAACTTATAATTATAGATGAGATTCAAGTACAATGTACAGCTGTATGTCTCACACCTGGAAACTTTGCTCATGTCATTAAAAAACACTTAGTACAATGGCGTAGCCTATGAAAGAACTTCACTTGCGACAGTCTTCAACTCCTAGACTAGCAATTGAAAGTACATTCATTTGAACCTCCACATCAAGCAGACACTCTCTGTTAGGCAAACACGTCAAAAGCATCAGTAAATTGAAACATTTTCTTTCTATCTTCAATTAGGATCTTCAAGCTAGTCAGCTGAAAGCTGTATTATTTTTAACTTAACGGAGACTGACATTGGGTTCCATGTATTATGTAGGTTTTGCCGCAGTGAAATTTAAAAACTACTTGAGTTAAATAACTACTGGGCTGCAGCAGTGTTATTGTGAGGTTTCATAATAGTAGTATGTTTTCAAATGTGGCTAAACACAAAATTATTTAGGTAAGGTAAAAGATGAGACAGTGCATGCCAGCCATCTTGTATGCATGGTAGACCTAGGGCAATTGGAGGGTGACAGTAATTTTTTAATTTTGCTCACATTGCTGTCATGTGCAGTTGTTCAAGCCATTTTGTTTCCCAATCCCTCCCTCCCTGAGGATAAGTCTTGGTAATTAAGTATCTACGAAACTCTCTGCTGAGGTTCTCAGTGTGATGGTGCCTGGTGGTTGCTACTCGGTTGTCATGGTTACATTAAGCACTCCATAACACTCCCTCAGTTTGTCCACACACCATCCCACAACAATCTTTTAGAAATGGGTTAAATACCTTCCAAAAATAAAAGTAAAATCTTCTTTACAATCTTTTTTCCCTTTGAACTATTTCACTGCTTAAAATAATATTTTATTTTTGTCAGTTATTATAAGGTACCTACATGTACCTGTTGACACATTGATGATGCTGTCTGGAGTAAAAGTCCACATGTCCTGATCTCTTCTATTATTTACTTTTCTAGCTATGCCTTCAATATCTCCACCACATTTGTTCTTACTAGACTGTGAAAGGTCTCCATCAGGTTCATCAAAACTTTCCCACTTGCCAACACTGTTCAAGGCAGACTCACTTGCCCTTCTGTCAAAAACCTCATGCTCATCAAGGTTATTTATATCACTGAAGTTATTAGCTCGCTTCAAGCCACCCAATCCATTATACTCTTTTTCTGCTAAGTGTGGAACATCATAGTCTGAAAAACTGGAATTACCAATGAACACAGCGCCAAAGTCCTCAACATGCGAACTGCCACGTGAGGTTAAGTCACTAAGATGCCGCCGAGGCTGCTTACGGACTCGCCTTACAGGCATGTCATCAACATAACCAGACTCAACCAAGCCATATTCAAGATGTTCAAGCGGGTCATTACTGGACGTATCACCAACCGCACCTAGCGCATGGAGGTCATCCTGTTCTTTCCCAACTGCACAGTCTAGTTCTAGAGCCAGACGGTCTCTTTCTGCCTGTAGAGAGGCAATTGTTGCCTCTGCATCTACCAGCTGCCATTCTAAGCTTGATAACTGCTTGTCTTTTTCCAGCAATTTTAACTGCAGTGCGTCCACCTGCCAATTTGAAAGGTCATCAATTGTTTGAATCACATTTGGAAAAGTTAGCTATCACTCCAAGCAAATAAAATATTGGAGCAGAACAAAAACAGGTCGCACTCCATACAAAGTTGCACAATAGCAATAATCTGACAAACTTTATTTTGACCAAAAACTTAAACAAAGAAAATACAATAAGAAAGAGTAAGACTAATAAAAATTGTGTCATAGGACTACTAAAACCTTCAATTTTGTATCCTTTCACCATGCATGATTCTTACAGTTTTTAGCATTTTTGACTAGCTGAGAATAAAACTTCTGTAGAACATTTGTCAAGATGTCAAGTGACCAGAAAATTAACGTTCTCCAGAATTTTTTTTCTTTTTCTCCAAAGTGACTGTATATTGCTCCCATTTTCCATGGAATTTCTTTTAGTTACCTTAGCCTCTGCCTCTACTTTTTCTTGGTACAGTTTCTCAGAATCAACAACAAAACCCAAGCTACCCAAATCCACAGGACCTACAATAAAAAACTTCTTGTTACAATTGTATTAAAGAGTCATTATCATAATTATGACACTGTTACCCCACGTGTTTCTTTCATGATGCATGTTAATTGTAGGCTACATGTATATGTTGTGATTATTTTATCCTTACTTCCATTCAAATTTTATTTTCCTAAATACTTTCAGGTACATGTATGTTAACATTAAAATAACAATTTAAAATTTAAAATTTGATCCACAACATATATGTTACAGGTTAAATTAATTTTGATTTCAGGTTAACTTTGATTTAACCTAGGTTGATTCTCAATTTCCTTTCTCTCCTAGCTCTGATTGAGGGACAAAGGAAATTGAGAATTGACCTGGGTTAAAAAATTTTAACCTGAAATCAAATTTAACGTGTAACATACGTGAATAAAATTATATGTAAGTGAATGTCTACAGGTATAAATTATTCATAGTTTTGGTGTACCAATAAAATTGAATAAAATTAATGTTAATGTACATTCAGATGTTACACCCTATATCTGGCTTATTTCTTAGATACTAAGGTGTATATAAATTAATTACAGTGCACAGAACTCAACCTAAGGGCCACCACTGCACATTGATATTTAAGAAAACATGTTCTCTTGTTTGATAGGCTAACAAGTAACTTATGACACACTCTTTTTGTGAACATGGCCTGTGATGGATTGATTAATGCTAAAAGGCCACAGTTGAGTTCATTTTACTGTAATACATACTTTTTGCAGCCCTAGAGTGCATTTTGCTGAGAAGGAATTTATAGTACCAATGAAATACAGCCATGTACGACGCTAATATTCACTGTTAAGAGTGAAGCAATAGCAGAACACTTTCTCTATTGGTATTTTTGCCCTCATTTATTACATTATTGTCAGATGAAAGGGAGTTGTTGGTTTAAATTAAACAAATAAAACTTTGTCAATCTCACACCTGGTACTTAGGAAGTATTTGGGGGTAAAAAAATTCAAGAATCTTTAGGATCGTACTAGAAAACCAATTGTGTTTATGAAAGAAGAATTCAAGTTACTGAATAGCCATTATGGCTGCTTGAGGACCAAGCTACATGTATCACGTTGCAAACCAAGACAAAGTACATGTAATATCTCTTTCACTCCAGTGAACAAAATATTATTAATTAAAAAGTAGACACATCAAAACATGATATCATTTTTAGAGTAAAATAGTAAAAGTTGATACCTGTTTCGCCTTTAGTAAATGCTTTCTGCGAAGCTAATAATTGTAGGTTGACTTTTCTAAGATTACTAACATCTTCTTGGAGCAATTCCTTTCTTCGTTGATATTCTGTTTCCTTATCTATTAAGAGCTGATCCACTTGAGCCTTCTCTGCAGCCAACTTCTCACAGTGTATTTGTAGCTGATCAAACTGAGCTCGCAGACTATCGATTGTTTCAAACACTTCCTCCAATGCCTCCTCCGCAAACAAGTCAACTTCACGTGGGGTCGCAGCACTTGAAACCTCCTTCTTAGGCGAGTCCATAGTCTATTCTTCATATACTACGATCATTGCTCTCTCTGAAGTCTGAACTTCATATGTTCCTTGATGAAAAGAAAAAATAATCTATAAGTAAACACGACAAAAACCAATCACTTTTGTGCCAGGACTGCGTGGGGACACAGCAAAAAACACTAAGGATAGGGAACTTAAGATCCGACTGCAACCTGCAGTAATGAGAACATCATAAAATGCAATTAATAGGTTTAACATGCAAAACACCTTCTCTACACATGTCAATGCACAACTACTATGTGAAATTGCCTAATTTCATGAGTTAAAGAGGATGCAAACAAGACTTTAGTGGTCACAAACGTTCTCTCTCTTTCTCATTTCTTGTATTAGAAATTCAACTCCCGAAGAGTTCACCTACATGTACAAATTGACAAAGTACATTACTAAGTAATGTACTTTGTCAAGTCTTGGAATAACCAAGATGAAGATTGAAAGAATGCAAATGCACTTTTTAAAGCAAAATTTTTGCCGCCGTCGCTGTCCTAGGATCTTTAAGTCCCTACTAACTCTTTTAGAGTCTCTGGGATCTCAGCAGTCATCGAAGGACAAGAACTTCTTTTCTTTCTCAATTAAGCATCTGCTGAGAAACCAGATATGGTTCTGACCTACTGTAGGAAGTGGAGGTTTCAAGCGTCAACTAGCTACAGGCTAAAGTGAAATGCCATGGATAGAGTGTCTCCTATTGTTTATGACCTTTATTTATTAAGCCACAAAAAAATGCAGCACTAACCCCAGGATTAGTTACATATTTTCTGAAAGACATATAGTCACAGGTTTGCATTTTAAGACTCAAGAATTGAAAGAATTTAGACTACAGCTGCACAGTTTTTGACCGACTGTTTTATGCATTTTTAAGCTGCAGTCTTAAAAGTAGAGATAAAAATTATTTCAAGGCAAAAATGTTGATTTGTATGTACGCAGAAAACAACATCCTATATAAAGAGCACATTTAATTTTATCCAATAGCCCTAATGATAACAGGAAGCAAATTAATTAATAATAAGATCAACAGTTTGTTTCTTGTCAATCAGCAAAATCTGTTTAAAGAGACAATGATTTCCAGTATGGGAAGAGCTCATCATGCCCTTACAGAGAGAGCTTTCAGACAGAGTAATTGAAAGAAAATTCAATTACAAAATAACAACAATTACATTTCTCCAAATCTGATATTGTTAAACCTGATGCAGACCAACTGATTTCAATATTTCATCAGGAACACCCAGTGAATATTAGTTTTCAAAAATCTCCTTAGAAGTTGTTTTGGGCAACCACAGAAGTAGATCTGACCTTTCGACTTTATCAGATATTACTAATAACTATTTGAGAAGTAAAACACCACTTAACATAATAATTTTCATAATCACCATCATATCATTATTGGGATGACTTGTATGAGCTGCCAGCAGCAGAACATGGCAAGAGTGTAAGAGCAACCCGACTGTCTATTTTATAAGCCACATCTACAGGTAACGCAAGCAACACACTCACTGTCAAATCATTTAAGGAAATTTGAACTAAGGACCTGGTGCTGGCTTTTAAAAAGGATATATATTGATCAAACTGAAGACTGAAATTATCTCCTTTTAACTTAGCGTTATCTCTTTATTTATCATTCACTATTTTCATATATTTATTTCATATTTGAAAGCAGTTGCTACTTTGGCCACCACACACATTCAATACATCAGGGTTCTCCTTTATATCAGGCGGTAACCGGTAAAATTTACCGTTTGAAGCAACACTTCTTACCACCTGCAACCACTTGAAGTGTTGCTAAAATTAAATAAGTTGTTTCCAAAAATATGCAAGTTGTGATTCAAGCTGATCCTCACAAGAAAAGGAAGTAAATACGGAATAAGAAAAGGTATACAAAGCTACTCCCTCTGATTATTTTATTTACATGTAAATGCTGACTGGCACCTTTCAAAGCAGCGCAGGCTAACAATTTTTTCGTGGGCTTCTCAGACTTTAATCTCAACCAGCAGGAAAAGTTTGCAATTTCCGTGACTTGTGTTACTAAATTGACCCTAGCAGCAAAAGCAGCTTTCATTCATAAAATTCTTTGTGTTGAGGTGTTTAAAATACTTTTCGGTCAATTGGTTGACAAGATGCTAGAAAATAAAAGCCTTCATGAACACGAAGCCCCTGCCCTGACAGGAGAGTGCGCCTCTGGTGCATATTGTCTTACCCATCAAGAATGGTCCCTTACCTGCTGAGCTAAAATTTGGGGGGAACTTTGAGTATGCTATGTGTTATTTTATTTAATTAAATTTTCAAGAGAATCTGTTACTGTTTTCATTTATATCTGTGAACTTACAATGCAAATAGTGTAAAAAGAAAATGAACTTGAACTTCAACTTGATTATTAATATTATCATTATTATTATTACTAGTCTTCACAAAATAATATGCATGTAATGTTAATTTTTTTAGCCATCTTTTTTTTTTCTCATTAGAGGAAAAATTCACTAATTGAAAAGGAAAGCAAAAAAAATAAATGTTGTTAGCAGCAGCTGTAGTTTACAAACTCAAATGTAACCTGTTCTATTATTATGATGTCTAGATCTTAATGTTCTGAATGGCTGACAATTTATTATTTCCCTACTTCTAACTGCAGGTGACAATCTTAGTTCAGTTTATTTCAAACAAAAAAATAAGACTTAACAAAACAACAAAACTTTTATAATGTTACAAAGGAATGGTTATTTGTCATCATACGAACACAATTAATAACCTGATTGACATTTTTCTCCCTCATAACTGGATCAAAACTAAAGTAAATAACAAAATAATCATAATTATGAAGAAAATAATACGGAGTTTGCAAACACTACAGTGTATAATAACTTTTTCCTGAATCTTCCTATAAAATTCCACGTTCAATTTTATTTTTTCAAATTGCAGCATGAACTGGCTTAATTTTCAATTCAATTTAACTATTATGAAAGTGACGTGAATTTAGGTCTTATAAGTTGTGGTATTATTTTATTATACCATTCATCCAAGCTGGCGAAGTAGGCCTAAAAACCGCGTATTTCACAAAAATTTGCAACTTAAACCCACTCGAAATAGAAATTTCCGTAATCCGTGGCGAGACGTGCCATTATCTAAATGATAATGCAATTAACAATGACACGGAGTGTCGAAACTGCATGCCTTCTTCGTTTCAGAATTACTTCAGCTCAGAACATTTGATTTTGTTGAACTCTCCGAATGAAGGACAGTGTACAAGGAGAGAAATACCAGCAATGTTCCAAAACGCTCTGACAAAAGAGAGCCGTCGAAGTGTTTCACGGTCAAAAACGCAGTTTTTGAAGACGAAAATAAACAAAGATAAGATCGTGCACACTTCTCGGGAAGCATGAACAGGAGAAATAAATTAACCTCGCTGTCTTGTGGTTCAGAAAGGTATTAAAAACATTTCCAATCAGATATTGCTGCTATTTACTATGATTTCGGAAACAAGCTTGAATATCTTTGACCGGCAAGACATAATTTTAAGGTATCTATTTCGTCTGAAGAAAAGCAAAGAATAAATTCGTCGAGTTATCGAATTATGCTGACAGCTGACAGTAGCTTATTTACTCACTCACCATTGAATATCGCTGTGACGACTCAATATATCTTACCTTGCAAAAACGAAACAAACGATGAATATAGACAAGTCATCTCTGTTTCGCTACATAAAGCTGATTTAGCGTTTTCATGATTCCGTGTAGACAGTGAACAAAGAATATGTATGAAAACAGTGGTATTGATTTCAACCCGTCTGCAAAGTCACATGCATCATGGAACACTCGAACAATGAGAAGGAACGCGCGTGCGTGTTATTTTGTTGTCATGTATTGTTCACGAATAATACACCTGCAGACCCCCCGGTGTGGTGTGGGTAAACATCGATTATCGTAATNAAGAATAAATTCGTCGAGTTATCGAATTATGCTGACAGCTGACAGTAGCTTATTTACTCACTCACCATTGAATATCGCTGTGACGACTCAATATATCTTACCTTGCAAAAACGAAACAAACGATGAATATAGACAAGTCATCTCTGTTTCGCTACATAAAGCTGATTTAGCGTTTTCATGATTCCGTGTAGACAGTGAACAAAGAATATGTATGAAAACAGTGGTATTGATTTCAACCCGTCTGCAAAGTCACATGCATCATGGAACACTCGAACAATGAGAAGGAACGCGCGTGCGTGTTATTTTGTTGTCATGTATTGTTCACGAATAATACACCTGCAGACCCCCCGGTGTGGTGTGGGTAAACATCGATTATCGTAATTGTGGTTTTCGATTTCTTATCATGCCCACTGTGGACATGAATCTCTCTTTAATGAGTTAACTCGAGTTCTGGAAGGACGTATGGCAACTGTGTAAAGGAAGAACATTTAAGAATTTGTTATGCTTAGCGTGCGTATATCGAGTTATGGATGCACGCGGGAAGTTCGGAGAGCAAGAAAGATGCGTAAGAGTTTGCTCGAGGAGATATTTCGTTCATAGCGGCTCAATAGGACTTATATAGAGCAAGCACGCGCACTATCTTATAATTAACAATTATTCCACGAGGGCGCGTTGGATATGAGATGATAGATAGCCAACGAGGCGCGTAGCGCTGAGTTGGCTATAATCATCTCGTATTCAACAAGCGCGAGTGGAATAATTGTTTTACTAAAAACGCCCACAAAATCTCGTTGAATCTCCCCTACTAGAACAAACCGGAAAAGACAAGGGACTTCCGCTATTCACATGTCACACGTCTATCAAAACTGTCAACGCGCGAACGGACTCGCCTGGAGCCCTGGATGCTACATTCGCACGAGAAAGGGTTGGGCTACCCTGTTTTCCAGCACTTGGGCCTTGATCTACTGCATGAGTTACCGCCGCCCGGTTAGCTCAGTTGGGAGAGCGCCGGTCTGCTGAGCGGGAGGCCGTAGGTTCAAACCCCGGCCGGACCAACACTCTTTAAATAACTGAGGAGAAAGTGCTGCCTTTGACATCTTGCCTTTGACATCTGCAAAATGGTTAGACTTTCTAGTCTTCTCGGATAAGGACGATAAGCCGTAGGCCCCGTCTCACAAGCCTTTGCACATGTAATAAATCTGTGGGACGTTAAAGAACCCACACACTCTTCATAAAGAGTAGGGCACGTAGTGCCCAGTGTAGTGGTCTATCTCACTTTCACACTCATGTATGGGGGCATCATCACTCATTCCTTCAGTACTTGTAAACTGCAACTTAAGCAGTCTGGCAAAGTCCTCCAACCAGTGTTGTAAATTATCCCTGAAAAGCCCTGTGGGGAGTGGATAATAAGATATTTACAATTACAATTTACATGAATGAAAAATCAAAACATTGTAGCGATGAACATTAGTTTTTTAAAAACTCATCGGGATTCTAGGATTTTACACAGCAGAACAGCTAAAAAAAACCTGACAGATAATGTGAAGGATAAACAAGCCGCAGTTATCTATCGGCGAGTGACTCGATCATGGAGAGCATGGTATAATAGCTCATATACCATAACGGGTAAGCCAATCAAAATGCTAGAATTGCATTATCCAATGATTCAGTTTTTAATAATTAATGTTACAACAGGAGCCTGCGGCTCCAACGATAGCGTGTGTTCCAAGCAACGTCTTAGGCTCTCCTACTATCGTATTTGCTTCTCTCAGAAAAGAGTGAAACAAAAGAAATGGAATATAGCAGCCTTTGTAGCAGTCGTTTCCTTTCCAAATTCTCGCGCCCCATCTAGGAAACGGGGCGGCTGTCACAAGTATCTAGGCCATGGGGCGAAGGAGGAGGGGGGAGGCTTACTCAACAGCGTTTTATACCATATGGTAAGGCTCTGCCCCAAGCTCTTTTGAAATATATCATTGTCGTAAGGTATCAGTTGGTCCGAAATATTTCAGTCAAGGGTACTCTCAAACACCCACCATGACAATTTCGTGCCGTGGCTTGTATAGGACCCGACCGTATGGGAATCCAACCCGAGAATTCACTGATGGGTCATTCATGGCTTTGCGATGCGTAACGTACCGTAGTCCCAGAGGTTTTTCTTGAAATTTTCTTCGCGAAAGAGAGAGAGAGCCGTGAAGCGGCAAGGAGAGTGAGAAACACTCTCTCTCTCCTCGCAGCTTCGCGGCTCACTCTCTCTTTCAGGGGCACCCAGCGACTTTTTACTGTAAAATAACTGTTCGAAGGAGCAAATTTCTCAGGGGCGCCCGACGAGAATTATATTGTTAAACCTGATGCAGACCAACTGATTTCAATATTTCATCAGGAACACCCAGTGAATATTAGTTTTCAAAAATCTCCTTAGAAGTTGTTTTGGGCAACCACAGAAGTAGATCTGACCTTTCGACTTAATCAGATATTACTAATAACTATTTGAGAAGTAAAACACCACTTAACATAATAATTTTCATAATCACCATCATATCATTATTGGGATGACTTGCATGAGCTGCCAGCAGCAGAACATGGCAAGAGTGTGAGAGCAACCCGACTGTCTATTTTATAAGCCACATCTACAGGTAACGCAAGCAACACACTCATTGTCAAATCATTTAAGGAACTTTGAACTAAGGACCTGGTGCTGGCTTTTAAAAAGGATATACATTGATCAAACTGAAGACTGAAATTGTCTCCTTTTAACTTAGCGTTATCTCTTTATTTATCATTCACTATTTTCATATATTTATTTCATATTTGAAAGCAATCAATCAATCAATCAATCAGTCAACAACTTTATTTAAGTGTCTAGTCTTCTAGCTTGCCGTCAGGCCTACTAATCGGGGACACTACTTAAATAACTTATTAATAAGAAATATATATACATAATACTATAAGCCAATAAGATTTAACTATAGTTAAATCTAAGTTTAAAAGTTTAAAAGTTTAACTACAGTTGCTACTTTGGCCACCACACGCATTCAATACATCAGGGTTCTCCTTATCAGGCGGTAACCGGTAAAATTTACCGCTTGAAGCAACACTTCTTACCACCTGCAACCACTTGAAGTGTTGCTAAAATTAAATAAGTTGTTTCCAAAAATATGCAAGTTGTGATTCAAGCTGATCCTCAGAAGAAAAGGAAGTAAATACGGAATAAGAAAAGGTATACAAAGCTACTCTCTCTGATTATTTTATTTACATGTAAATACTGACTGGCACCTTTCAAAGCAGCGCAGGCTAACAATTTTTCGTGGGCTTCTCAGACTTTAATCTCAACCAGCAGGAAAAGTTTGCAATTTCCGCGACTTGTGTTACTACATTGACCCTAGCAGCAAAAGCAGCTTTCATTCATAAAATTCTTTGTGTTGAGGTGTTTAAAATACTTTTCGGTCAATTGGTTGACAAGATGCTAGAAAATAAAAGCCTTCATGAACATGAAGCCCCTCCCCTGACAGGAGAGTGTGCCTCTGGTGCATATTGTCTTACCGGTCAAGAATGGTCCCTTACCTGCTGAGCTAAAATTTAGGGGGAACTTTGAGTATGCTATGTGTTATTTTATTTAATTAAATTTTCAAGAGAATCAAACTGTTTTCATTTATATCTGTGAACTTACAATGCAAATAGTGTAAAAAGAAAATGAACTTGAACTTCAACTTGATTATTAATGTTATCATCATTATTATTACTAGTCTTCCCAAAATAATATGCATGTAATGTTAATAATTTTAGCCATCTT